AGACCCCGCCCACGCCGCGGCGACAGGTAAGACCCCGCCCCACCTCAGACCCGCTCGCGGCAGTGGGACTCGTGTAAACCGGTTTGAATCCTGGTGTGGTTCAGGTGGACGTTTGTGACGGAGATGAGCGTGAGCCGCAGCGCCGCCGGAGTCGCCGTGTTCGACGGACGGATCGTGGTGTCGGGCGGCCATGACGGTCTGCAGATCTTCAACACGGTCAGACTCTTGACTCCTCCCCCTGCTCCTGACTCCTCCCCCTGCTCCTGACCCCTCCCCCTGCACCTGACCCCTCCACCTGACTCCTTCCCTTACATCTGACTCCTCCCCTTACATCTGACTCCTCCCTCTGCACCTGACTCCTCCCTCTGCACCTGACTCCTCCCCTGCACTGACTCTCCCCTGCACCTGACTCCTCCCCCTGCACCTGACTCCTCCCCTTACCCCTGACTCCTCCCCCTCTCCCTGACTCCTCCCTCCCTCCCTGACTCCTCTCCCTGACTCCTCCCCCTCTCCCTGACTCCTCTCCCTGACTCCTCCCCCTTCACACCCCTGCACACATTCGTCCACGTTCACACAGTCAGGGTTGGGGTATAAACACACATGTTGTGGTGTTTTGCGCCCACAGGTGGAGAGCTTCAGTCGGCACAGCGGGCGCTGGGCGCCGTCAGGCTCCATGTTGAATAAACGGTGTCGTCACGGCGCGGCGGCGCTCGGGGGGCAGATGTTTGTGGCGGGAGGATACGACGGCTCGGCGTTTCTGAGCAGCGCCGAAGTGTTCCGCTCCGACAGCGGACAGTGGAGCCTCCTGGTGCCCATGAACACGCGCCGCAGCCGGGTGAGCCCTGACCCCTGACCCCTGACCCCTGACAGGTGTTTGTGGACCATTGACTTTGCAGTCTGAGTTTTAGGTTCAAAGGTTTAGTCTTGGTTTAGTCTCGGTCTCAGTCCCGGTCCCGGTCCCGGTCCTGGTCCCAGTCCTGGTCCCGGTCTCAGTCCTGGTCTGTGTGCTTGCAGGTGTCCCTGGTGGCCTGCGGGAGGCGTCTCTTCGCCGTGGGGGGGTACGATGGACAGTCCAACCTGAGCTCCACAGAGACCTTCTGCCCCCTGAGCCGCACCTGGAGCTTCTGCGCTCCCATGAGCTGCCACCAGGGGGGGGTGGGGGTGGGCTGCGTGCCGCTGCCGCCCTCCTGACCCCGCCCCCTGAGCCCGACCCTGCGCGCCGTGGCCCCGCCCCCCGGACTCTGACCCCGCCGGACGTTCTGCCACACGAACATTTTGGACCAAACCGAGACGAGACGAGACAAGATGGAGGACGGTGCCGTTTTACACGCACGGACACGTTTACGTCAGAGTGACCCTGTGGTGACCCTGTGGTGACCCCGAGGTGACCCCGAGGTGACCCTGTGGTGACCCTGTGGTGACCCCGAGGTGACCCTGTGGTGACCCTGAGTGACCCTGAGGTGACCCTGTGGTGACCCTGAGGTGACCCTGTGGTGACCCTGTGGTGACCCTGAGGTGACCCTGTGGTGACCCTGTGGTGACCCTGTGGTGACCCTGAGGTGACCCTGTGGTGACCCTGTGGTGGTGACCCTCCTTGACCTTTGACCTGGGTCTGAGGGAGTTTCTGGAGTTTTTACTTGACAAACGTTCAGTGGAGACGCTGCTCAAACCTTTGGTGAAATAATCTAATTTAATAATAAATTATTAAAACACGACTTTTCCCATGATCCTTCACTGCACACACTCACCTGTCACACCTGTCACACCTGTTACACCTGTCACTCCTGTCACACCTGTCACTGTCGTCACCTGTCACTGTTACACTCTGTACACACCTGTCACACCTGTCGGTCCTGTCACACCTGTCACTCCTGTTACACCTGTCACACCTGTCGCTCCTGTCACACCTGTTACACCGGTCGCTCCTGTCACACCTGTCACTCCTCTTACACCTGTCGCACCTGTCACTCCTGTTACAACTGTGGCTCCTGTCAAACCTGTCACACCTGTTACACCGGTCGCTCCTGTTTGCTCTGCCCACAGACCACACCCCCAACAGGCCACGCCCCCACAGACCACACCCCCAACAAGCCACACCCCCAACAAGCCACGACCCCACAGACCACACCCCCAACAGGCCACACCCTCCACAGTCTCCTCCCTGTTTATCTCCTTGCCTCCTGATCTCCTTTCCTCCTTGTCTCCTTGCCTCCTTATTTCCTTGCCTCCTTGTCCTCCTTGCCTCCTTATCTCCTTGCCTCCTTATCCCCTTGCCTCCTTGTCTCCTTATCTCCTGATCTCCTTGTCTCCTAGTCTCCTAGCAGGTGTTGGTGGTCTAAGATCTTGAGGATTATTTTTAATCTTGTTTGACACGTTTCCTTCCTCACTTCATTTGTGTCCTCGGCCTCGGCGTGTTCTGTCTCCTCGTCTCCTCTTTCCTCGTCTCTTCTTTCCTTCTGTGTCTTCTCCTCTCCTCTCTCCTCTTTCCTCTCCTCGTCTCCTCTATCCTTGTCTCCTCTCTCCTTCTCTCTCCCCTTTTCTGCTCTCTTCGTCTCCTTTCTCCTACTGTGTCTCCTCGTCTCCTCCTCTCCTTGTCTCCTCTCCTCGTCTCCTCTCTCTCCCTCTCCTTGTCTCCTCTCCTCGTCTCCTCTCCTCATCTCTTCTCTCCTTGTCTCCTCGTTTCCTCGTGATGTCATCGTTGCATGTGAAAGCGGTGCACACAGCTCTTCTCTCAGGCCCCGCCCCCTCTCAGGTGAGTCTGTCTGTGATTGGTTGGTTGTTTGTTTGTTTATTCTGAGTTTGTTTCATTTCCAAACTCTCTGTTCCACCTTGTGATGTCATCAGGTGAACAGCTCCTTTTATCGTTAGTTCAGTCGAGATCAAAACTCCAGGACTGAAATGTTCCAGGTGATTCTAGTGAAGGTGTGTGGAGTTTAAAAACACAGTGGAGCACTTCCTGTATCACCACATGATGACATCACCAGGTGGAACAAAGTGTTTTGTCGTGTTAAATCTGCAGGTTTGTGTGAAACATGTGAATGAAACAAAACATGAGTCCAGGAAACAACAACAGAACAGAGATTTAGACCTGGTTTAGTTCTGGTTTAGACCTGGTTTAGACCTGGTTTAGTTCTGGTTTAGATCTAGTTTAGTTCTGGTTTAGTCCTGGTTTAGTCCTGGTTTAGACCTGGTTTAGTCCTGGTTTAGACCTGGTTTACCTGGTTTAGACCTCCTGGTTTAGTCCTGGTTTAGTTGGTTTAGTCCTGGTTTAGTCCTGGTTTAGTCCTGGTTTAGTGGTTTAGTCCTGGTTTAGTCCTGGTTTAGACCTGGTTTAGTCCTGGTTTAGTCCTGGTTTAGTCCTGGTTAGTCCTGGTTTAGTCCTGGTTTAGTCCTGGTTCCCTGGTTAGTCCTGGTTTAGTTCTGGTTTAGTCCTGGTTTAGTCTGGTTTAGTTCTGGTTTAGTCCTGGTTTAGTCTGGTTTAGTCTGGTTTAGTCTGGTTTAGTTCTGGTTTAGTCCTGGTTTAGTCCTGGTTTAGTCCTGGTTTAAGTCTGGTGGTTAGTCCTGGTTTAGTCCTGGTGGTTTAGTCCTGTTTAGTCCTGTTTAGTTGGTTTAGTCCTGGTTCTAGTTCTGGTTTAGTTCTGGTTTAGTCCTGGTTTAGTTCTGGTTTAGTCCTGGTTTAGTCCTGGTTTAGATCTAGTTTAGTTTAGTCTGTGAGGCGCTGTGACCTCTGACCTTTGCCCCCCTCAGGCGTGCCCGTCAGGTGAGGCCCCGCCCCCTCTGCAGGTGATGGCGCACCTGTCTGACGGGCGGCGGCAGGTGCTGAGGCGCTCGGACGACGACCTGGCCTGGATGATGAAGAGGCTGGTCGACTGTTTCCCCGACGACCGCGACACGCTGTCCAATCAGCTGCTGAGCGGTGAGTCGCCCGCTCTGATTGGCTCGTGTGGGGTCGCTCGGCTCTGATTGGCTCGTGCGGGGTCGCTCGGCTCTGATTGGCTCGTGTGGGGTCGCTCGGCTCTGATTGGCTCGTGCGGGGTCGCTCGGCTCTGATTGGCTCGTGTGGGGTCGCTCGCTCTGATTGGCTCGTGTGGGGTCGCTCTGGGCTCGTGATTGGCTCGTGGGGGGGTCGCTCGGCTCTGATTGGCTCGTGTGGGGTCGCTCGGCTCTGATTGGCCGTGCGGGTCGTCGCTCGCTCTGATTGGCTCGTCCGGGGTCGCTCGGCTCTGATTGGCTCGTGTGGGGTCGCTCGGCTCTGATTGGCTCGTGCGGGGTCGCTCGGCTCTGATTGGCTCGTGTGGGGTGGCTCGGCTCGTGATTGGCTCGTTTGTTGCAGGTTTGCTGAAGGTTCGAGCGGCAGAAAAAAATCCAGATCCAGAATTTAAAATCCAAGAAATCAACAAACTCCTGACGACGATCATCCACCTGCCACTCAAAGTACAGTCCTGTTTAGTCCTGGTTTAGTCCTGGTTTAGTCCTGGTTTAGTCCTGGTTTAGACCTGGTTTAGACCTGGTTTAGTCCTGGTTTAGTCCTGGTTTAGACCTGGTTTAGTCCTGGTTTAGTCCTGGTTTAGACCTGGTTTAGTCCTGGTTTAGTCTGCCTGTTTAGACCTGGTTTAGTCCTGGTTTAGTCCTGGTTTAGTCTGGTTTAGACCTGGTTTAGACCTGGTTTAGACCTGGTTTAGACCTGGTTTAGTCCTGGTTTAGTCCCTGGTTTAGTCCTGGTTTAGACCCTGGTTTAGTCCTGGTTTAGTCCTGGTTTAGTCCTGGTTTAGTCCTGGTTTAGACCTGGTTTAGAGTCCTGGTTTAGACCTGGTTTAGTCCTGGTTAGACCTGGTTTAGACCTGGTTTAGTCCTGGTTTAGACCTGGTTTAGACCTGGTTTAGATCCTGGTTTAGTCCTGGTTTAGACCTGGTTTAGACCTGGTTTAGACCTGGTTTAGATCTGGTTTAGATCTGGTTTAGACCTGGTTTAGACCTGGTTTAGATCTGGTTTAGTCCTGGTTTAGACCTGGTTTAGACCTGGTTTAGACCTGGTTTAGACCTCTGGTTTAGTCCTGGTTTAGTCCTGGTTTAGTCCTGGTTTAGACCTGGTTTTAGTCCTGGTTTAGACCTGGTTTAGATCTGGTTTAGTCCTGGTTTAGTCCTGGTTTAGTCCTGGTTTAGTCCTGGGTTAGTCCTGGTTTAGTCCTGGTTTAGTTCTTTTCTCTGTCCTCAGTTCTCTCAGTCTGAACCCGTCCAGACTTTCTTTGGATTGGACCTGGACTCCAGAGCAGATCCAGACCCAGACCCAGACCCAGACCGGACTCAACCCGGTCTCACTGAGGACCCAAACCAGACTAAAGACCCCAGCGAGACCCCGGAGGAGCCTAGAGTCCAGATTCCGGGTCCAGACCAGGTCCTGTTGAGCCTCGTGTCGCACTCAGGTCAGTCCAACATCAAAAAACACAAAACCCAACTTTTGAACGCCGTCCCAGTATCGGCTCTTTGTGCAGTATCGGCTCTTTGTGCAGTATCGGCTCTTTGTGCAGTATCGGTTTAGATCAATACGTCGATCTCGATCCACCAGTCGATCTCCGGCCGCTGCTGTTGGTAATAAACTTGTAGCGGGTGCAGGAGCGTGTGGTACCTGTTGTAGTACTCGGTGGTAGAAGTGTAGTAGTAGTAGTAGTAGTAGTAGTAGTAGTAGTAGTAGTAGTAGTAGTAGTAGTAGTAGTAGTACTTGTAGCGGGTGCAGGAGCGTGTGGGCGTCTCAGTTCGGCCTGTGCGCTCATTTGAAACCCGCGGAGACTCTACGGCGCATCACAAACACACACGCTCCACATGTCCTACTACTACTACTACTACTACTACTACTACTACTACTACTACTACTACTACTACTACTGCTACTACTACTACTACTACTACTACTACTACTACTACTACTACTACTACTACTACTACTACTACTACTACTACTACTACTACTACTACTATACTGCTACTACTACTACTACTGCTACTACTACTACTACTACTACTACTACTACTACTACTACTACTACTGCTACTACTACTACTACTACTACTACTACTACTACTACTACTACTACTACTACTACTACTACTGCTCCCTACTACCTACTACTACTACTACTACTACTACTACTACTACTACTACTACTGCTATGCTACTACTACTACTACTACTACTACTACTACTACTACTACTACTACTAAAACAGCTACCCTATGCTATGGACTCCCTATGCTACTACTACTAAGAATTGCCGATACGATACTACTACTTCGATACACTGCACTTTCGATTCAGTACAATATATTTCAAATCGTTTTTAACTATGGTTCAATAAAAAAATAGGGATGTAACAATAATCAAAATATCCTTATATCGTCAAAAGTGTCATAATAATATCTGGACCATTCACAATATATCGAATTACAAGTCTCTTTGTTTAAATTAACAGTTATTGTGTGCAGTAATAACTAAAAAAACAGAGGGAACTACATGGACCATGATCCTTTGCTCTGTTTTGGTGCAAACTAAGTTCTAAGCACTTTGAAATTTTGTCAAGGCTTTTTCAAACAAAAAAAGTAGCATATTCACTATTTTGTTCGCCTCCACAAAATATTGCAGTAAATATCGTTGAGATGTATATCGTGAAAATATCGTACCATGAAATGTGGATATTGTTTACATCCCTAATAAAAAATAAAGGCTAAATTATGGCCCTGATACTAAAAGTCTTTGTTAAATCACTTCTTCTTGTGCAAAGTTCAAAGGAAACACAAATATTTTAATCCTCAAAACAGTGAAAATGTCAAATGTGTCGCATAAACATGTTTCATTCCTCTAAACGAGCGACAAAACTGTAGCTGTAACAAAATAATTTAGAAAAATATACCAAAAAATACTCTTGGCGATATATCGAGGAGTTTGTTTGGTTTTGTATCAGGTCGATCATTTTGACTTGGTCATTTTGTAAGTAACTCACATGATGAAAAAGTGTGAACACCTCTGGTCTAACTAAATCCTGTTTGTTAATGTAGAGGAGCAGAAGACAAACAGACTGAGCTGCACTTTCTTGTTCTTGTGGTTTTACACAAACATCACGTCTTGGTCTTTGCAGTGGAAGGTGTTTCTTGGTGAACAGTTGGAGACTTTCACTTTGGCGTTAACTTTTTAAATTCATAACCAAGACTGAGCGAAGGATCAGGATTTTGTTTCGTTGTCGCTCCACATACAAAATGTTCTCTGTAAACTCGGGAGGATTTCTTAGTCAGACAAATGTTTCCTTTTTGGTTCTTCCTGTGGATCAATCCTGCCCATCACCTTCACCTTTCACTATTTTTCAATTCCGTTGGGAAGAGAAACAGTTTGAACAGAGGTTTGAGTCACACACATCTGATTCACTTTTGTATTTATGAAGTTCACAAACACATTTCTGGAGTCGTTTTCCGCTGTTTGGATCCAACAACCACAACAATGACGACGTCTGAATCCAAAAACTAAAATATGACAAAATCAGAACCAGAAACAAAAGTGAAATGGTTCAAAAGACTTGAAAAGATCGACTTTGACAACAGACACGTCCCACTGGGAAAACAAACATGGTATCGGCTCTTTGTATCGGTATCGTAATGGTATCGGTTCTTTGCAGAGGTGCTGCGGTGTAACGGCTTCTGTTTGGCGAACACCGAGACCGTTTTCTTCGACCAATGGGAGCGCAGGAGCCAGAGAGCCGGCCAATGGGAGCGCGGCGGGCGGAGTGCGGGCCAATCAGAGCACGGCGGCGGCGGCGGCGGCAGCAAGGACAGACGGTGAGCGGCGGCGCCTCCGTGTCGCCCCCCGGTGTCGCCCCTCGTGTCTCGCGCTCATTCTGCTTCTGTTCTGAGTCCAGGGCCGACACTTCCTGTTTAGGACACGCCCCCCGCTGCGGCCTGGCTCACCTGATTGGACGAGTGGTGAGGGGGCGGAGCCTGAAGAGGAAGAAGGCAGAGTCTTCGTAAGTGGCCCCGCCCCCCCACAGGAGGCGGAGTTTGTGCCTTAGTGTTTGCGGTCGCCGTTTGACACTGTTCCACCCTGTGATGTCATCAGGTGGAGCTTGTCTCTTCAGCTCAGGTCTCGTGGTCTCGTTTACATGAGGTTTTTTAAAAATCTGAATTAATTGTTTTGAATTAAATAGTTCAGAATCTGTTTCCATGGAAACTGTAAAGGTGAAGCTCTTATTTACGTTTGGTTTTTAAAAGTGCGGTGATGCTTTTATTTTGGTGACTTCCTGTGTGAAAGGAAGTTCAAACTTTGACTTGACGTACAAAAAAGAAGCAACGAAAAGACGTCACGGTGAAAACAGCGAGAAACAAAAACAGCCGTGAAAAGTTTGATAAAAAACGTAAAGATAAAAACAGTCGACAGGAGCGAAGTTTGTTTGATTTGTTTGATTTGTGAAAGTTTTATCAGAACTTCTGGTCATTTGTGCCGATTTAACGTGAAATCTGGAAAACTGTTGAATGATGTCATGACCTGAGTTAGTGACACTGTGACCCGGTGATCATTTCTGTTATTTTACATTTATGACACGGCAAGAAAAAGATGAAGAGATGAAGAGATGAAGAGATGAAGAGATGAAGAGACGACTCGTGTGGACGCTGCAGAACATCAGAACATTAAAACATCAGAACATTAAAAACATCAGAACATTAAAAACATCAGAACATTAAAAACATCAGAACATTAAAAAGTTTGTGTTGAAGTTTTCATGTGTTTTATTTAAATGTGTGAATAAAAAATCTTTACACCAATGAAACGTGTCACACTCCTCTTTAATACAGGCGTAACGACAGGCGTAACGACAGGCGTAACGACAGGCGTAACGACAGGCGTAACGACAGGCGTAACGACAGGCGTAACGACAGGCGTAACGACAGGCGTAACGACTCCAACTTTACTCCCTTTAAACAACACACAAGAGTTAGAATGTCAAAGATGTCACATATTTCACATGGGGAGGGCACCTGACACACAGAGAGGACACCTGACACACAGAGAGGGCACCTGACACACAGAGAGGGCACCTGACACACAGAGACACTGACACACACACCGAGGGCACCTGACACACAGAGAGAGGCACCTGACACACAGAGGACACCTGACACACAGGAGGCACCTGACACACAGAGGGCACCTGACACACAGAGAGACACCACACACAGAGGACACCTGACCACAGGAGGACACCTGACACACAGAGAGGACACCTGACACACAGGAGGGCACCTGACACACAGAGAGGACACCTGACACACAGGGATACAGGAGGATGGGAGGGCATCTGGAGGTTCTTTGTGTCTCTCAGGCGCTGGTCCAGATGTTCCTGGTCCAGATGTTCCTGGTCCATCCTCTTGAGGAAGTCCAGGGTGATGTTCAGAACTTCTCTGCTCTCCTCTTCTTCTTCTTCCTCCTCAGAACATTCTGGATCATCTGAGGCCAGGAGCCTGTGGAGCTTCTGCAGCTGCTGTTGGACAAACCTCAGGACCTGCTCCTCCAGAACCTGGAACCACACACTGTGTGAACAAGTTCTGAGTGTGACGTGACCCACAGCTCAGCTCCAAATGAAGCTCATGGAGGCCAGCACTTAGAGCGGCTCATCTGGAGCCAGAACCTCCACAAACCACGATCCTCTTCTGGATTCATCTACAGATGATTTTTAACTACTCCTGCTCCATAAAGTCCACACCTCCACCTGCACCTGCACCTGCACCTCCACCTGCCACCTGCACCTCACACCTGCACCTCCACACCTCCACCCACCTCCACTCCACACCACCACCTGCACCTCCACCTGCCACCTCCACCTCCACCTCCACCTCCACCTGCACCTCCACCTGCACCTGCCACCTGCACCCCTCCACCTCCACCTCCACCTGCACCTCCACCTTCACCTGCACCTGCACCTCACCTCACCTGCACCACCTCCACCTCCACCTGCACACCTCCACCTCCACCTCCACCTCCACCTCCACCTGCACCTGCACCTCCACCTCCACCTGCACCTGCACCTCCCACCTCCACCTGCCCTCCACCTCCACCTCCACCTCCACCTGCACCTGCACCTCCACCTCCACCTCCACCTGCACCTCCACCTGCACCTCCACCTCCACCTCACCTCCTGCACCTCCACCTGCACCTCCACACCTCCACCTGCCACCTCACACACCTCCACCTCCACCTGCACCTCCACCTGCACCTCCACCTCCACCTCCACCTGCCACCTCACCTGCACCTCCACCCTTCCACCTCCACTGCACCTCCACCTCCCGCACCTCACTCCACCTCCACCTCACCTGCACCTCCACCTCCACCTCCACCTGCACCACCACCTCCACCTGCACCTCCACCTGCACCTGCACACTCCACCTCACCCTCCACCTGCACCTCCACCTCCACCTGCACCTCCACCTCCACCTGCACCTCCACCTGCACCTCCACCTCCGCACCTCCACCTGCACCTCACCTCCACCTCCACCTCACACCTCCACCTCACCTGCACCTCACCCACCTCCATCACACCTGCACCTCCACACACCTCCACCTGCACCTCCACCTGCACACCTCCACACCTCCACCTCTCACCTGCACCTCCACCTCCAACAACCTCCACCTGCACCTCGACACCACCACACCTCCACACCTTGCACCTGCACCTCCCTCCACACCTCCACCTCCACACCTCCCCTCACTCCACCTTCACACCACAGAAAGTTTGGAGGTTTTATAATCTGCGTCATCAGGGTCAAATAATTCTGTTCTACAACCCTCGACACACAGTGTGACTCCGACGCAGACGGGAGCCACAGTGTGACTCCGACGCAGACGGGAGCCACAGTGTGACTCCGACGCAGACGGGAGCCACAGTGTGACTCCTTGTTTGTGTTTCTTCCTGAATCACATTTTGGAGCTAAAACCGAAAGCAGCTTCAACTGAAACTTTATTTTGTAGCAGAGACCAGGAGGAATCTGTGCTTTTATTGTGGAGGGTCAGACTCTGTGCTTTTATTGTGGAGGGTCAGACTCTGTGCTTTTATTGTGGAGGGTCAGAGTGGGCGGAGCTTCTCTCCTCGCGCTGAAAGCCTCAGTCCTGGGTTGGTCCTGGTCTAGTCCTGATCTGACCCTGGTCCCGCTGAGTCCTGGTCCTGGTCCTGGTCTGGAACATGTTGGCGCTCGTGCTGCTGCTGCTCGCGCTCGTGACGCTGGCTCAGGCGATGCGCGCGCGGAGGAGAAGGTCAGTCCGGGTCTGGGTCTGGGTCTGGTCTGGGTCTGGTCTGGTCTGGTCTGGGTCTGGTCTTCTGGTCTGGTCTGGGTCTGGTTTGGTTCAGTTTCACTTCATGTTTTGTTTTTCTTTTTTCCGTTTACTTGAGCAGCTCTGGTTCGTGACGGAGCCGATGTTTTACGAACTTTTTCGAAATGTCACAGAAACTTTGTCGTTTGGGGAAAGTTTGTTCTGGTTCCGGAGAAACGCGTCGTTTTCTCGTTTTACGAACGTGACGCTGATGAGACGTGAAGCGGAGGCGGCGCGCGGATCTGTCCCGGAACACGCCAAAACACGCACGGAGCTTTGGAGGCCCCCCCCAGACTCTGTGCTTTTATTGTGGAGGGTCAGACTCTGTGCTTTTATTGTGGAGGGTCTGTGTAGTTCCTCTGTGTTTTGAACTCTTCATTAAGACTTTTGTCACACATTTCAGTTTTTGTTACGTCTGTAAAAGTCACATTTGTTTGGGTCAAATACAGAAAAGCTGCTGAAAAACGACAAGAACAAAGAAAAAGAGACGCGTGACTCATGTTTGTTGTGAATGTTTTGGCAGAAGTTCAGTTTTATTTTTACAAACGACGACAAACCGAGACTTTCTCACTTTGATGATTGTGAAATAGTGAAACTGTGAAACATTTTTCCTCCGTCCACAGTGTCACAGTGTCACAGTGTCATGTTACAGTGTCACAGTGTCACAGTGTCACACAGTGTCACAGTGTCACAGTGCAAGTGTCACAGTATCACAGTGTCACACACAGTGTCACAGTGTCACAGTGTCAGTGTCACTCACAGTGTCACTGTCACAGTGTCACAGTGTGTCAGTGTCACAGTGTCACAGTGTCACAGTGTCACAGTGTCACAGTGTCACTGTCACAGTGTCACTGTCACAGTGTCACAGTCACAGTGTCACAGTGTCACAGTGTCACTGTCACACAGTGTCACAGTGTCACAGTGTTACAGTCACAGCTGTACAGTTGTGACAGTGTCAGTGTCACAGTAGTCACAGTGTGCACTGTCACAGTGTTGTCACAGCACTGTCAGTGTCACAGTGTCACAGTGTCACAGTGTCACAGTGTCACAGTGTCAGTGTCACAGTGTCACAGTGTTACAGTGTCACAGTGTCAGTGTCACAGTGTTACAGTGTCACAGTGTCACAGTGTCACAGTGTCACACAGTGTCACAGTATCACA